GTAGCTATTAAATGAATTTCTGCAAAAAGCAATTTTTGTATCTGACACAGCTGTCTATTTCTGATATAGCTACCTGTTTCTGCTATAAAAGTAACATAGCTTTTAAACTAAAACTTTCACCTCAGAGCCTTGCATGTGTGAGTATTAAAAGTGGTTTGACAGCCCATGCATTGTCTCTTTATTTTAAAAAATGTCAGAATTCTCATTGCTCATTAAAGCAATAATCCCAACATTAATTTCTAACGGGGATTATCATCTTTTTCATATAAAAACTCTTTCCTCTTTCAAAAGAAAATGTTGGTAAGAGTAAGAGTTCATTGCTCAAAAATTCAAATTATTCAAAGCTCTCTTTTCAACTCTCTTCGTTTATTTATTTCTTTTTTCTACAAGAAATATTTTTAAGGGAAAAAAATTATTAAACAACTCTTTTAAAGAACAATTATGCACTTACTTTCTATTTTCAAAATCTGTTTTCTGTTCTTCTTGTGCTTACAATTATATTTCTCTCTATCTATATAGATTGTATAATCTATTGTAGACTAAAGGTTTTAAATAAAAAACATTTGTGTAATATCTTAGGTGAGAAGCTATGATGTAAAATGTTATTAAGCGACCTTCTCCTTGTATGAGATTTTAATGTCTTGATTTGAGTTTTCTATTCTATGCAAAGTAGAAGGTTAGAGGTTAACTAGAACCTTTGAAACGTAATAGATTTAAAGGCCAGATTTAGTTTTTGATCTATTTCCTTGTAACTATTGTTTTGTATTTTACCCTTTAAAAGAGATAACAGATTGTTTGACATTGTTGAGCAATTTGTGATTGAAAATAGATTGTTAGGTGTCTAATTTACATGTTTTTAGATTAGTTTGATAGTGGTTAAATACATAAATTCAATCCTGAATTTTACAACTTTAATCTTGTGGTATCTTGAACTTTGTGGATGACCTATTATGCATTTAAACTTGTAAATTTTCGTGATATTACACACTTTTCGACACTAATATCAATATTTTAAAATTTTTGGCTTTTATCTGTTAAAATATCGATTTGATATATGGTTAACATGACTTTTGGAATAATGATTTTCATAAATTTTCATTTTTAAATAAGTGTTAATTGATATAATTTTGCAAGTTGAAGTGTTTAATAAAATAAATTTAAAAATTAAAGTGTTTAACAGGTATACTTTTATAAATTGAAGTATTTGATAGTTTAAACTAAAAATTAAAAGTGCCATAAAATTAAAGTAACAAAATTCGAGACCGAATTATTTATTTAAATTTCTTATGTCTTTATTTCTAATCTCCTTATTTCTTAGTTTTAGTTGTCTTTATAAGTTTAAGACTTTTCATTTCTTTTTTAATAGAAAAAAGTAGATTTTGGAGCCTAAAACATCAAGCTTCGATTGGAGTTAGCAATATAGTTTTATTTTCTATATCATCTTGAATTCAGTGTTTTGTCTCGATACTACGTTAATTATTATGGATATCTTTACTCTCCTAGACTAATTTTATCTCAGAACTAGATATGAGAATAAAACTTCAAGATAAAAAATAATAAATCTCAATATTTAGACGATAATATTATTTGTAAAAAAAAAAAAAAAAGCGTTTAATATATGATATTCTTTACTCTCCTCTTAGACTTTTTTATTCTCATGCAACTAATATGAGAATAAAAAACTTCAAATAAAAAATAATAAATCTCAACTTTTAGCCGATTTAATCTTTATTGTAAAAAAAAAAAAAGTACAAGAGGTGTGAAAGAAAAATATTAAACGAAAAGAATTTTATTTTGTGAGAACATTGCGGATAGAGTGATTGCGAATCGATGACATTAACAAGATCATGCAGTGATAAATATATTATTTACACCTAAACTATAAACCACAAAAAAAAAAAAAAAAGTAAAGAGTGTGAAAAAAAAAAAAAAAAGAATTTTTAAGTTCTGAGAAATTGCGAGATAGATGATTGCGAAATAGAGACTTTTTTAACAAGATATGGATGGATAATATATTTTAACAAATATAACACAACTTGAATCGTGGAAGAAAAATAATTGGAGCCAGACCAAATCTTTAGACAAAGATAAGAATAAGCATTACAAAAGCACATGCCAGCAATGTCTATATTCCTATGGATAATTGGTTGCTACTAATCATAATTATGAACCTTAATTAACTGAATTTTGGTAAGAAATGTCAATCAACTTTACCAAATCTTTGTTTTTGAATATTGAAGCATCAACCAAATTATTCCATTGAACATTTGCCAAAACATGTCAACTCATCAATCCACCTCTAAAAAATGTCATTTTTTTAGCTTATCCAAAACATCCCTACCTATAACCGAAAGATGGACAAGGCCAAATATTTGATAAGCCATAGACAGAATCTAAAATATTTACCACAAAAAAAAGAAACAAAACAATTTAACCCCACACATGATTTAACATCCATGACGTAACTTTCACACCTTTTCATATTGTACTTTCTTTGTCTGATTGACATAATTGGTCTTTGTCGCTCTTCAAAAAGTTTATTAGTCTTTTCAAAAGAAAGAAATTAGGGGGAAGAAAAGATTCCATCCGGCCTAATGCTACAAAATTCCCATTTTAAAACTCTGGAACTATTGTATTCTGTAGTTAAATTGACAAAAAAAAAATTAAAAATTATATTGGTTAACTTAGCTCATCAAATTAATTCATTATTTGATTAATCATTTGTATTCTCAAGTTTGGTTCGATTCGTTTATAGTCTTATTTTTTATTCATATTCTCTCTTTTTATATAGAAAGAAAAACTTGGTGGTAAAAAATAATAATAAAAAGCAAAACACATATTTAAGCTTCTAAATTAATTCAATTTTTCTCTTAAATCCTTAAACTTTATTTATCAACACTGAGTCATTCAACTTTTATTTTTATTAAAATTAGACCTTTATTTAATTAAGACAAAATAGAAATTGAAGTTTCTAATGATAGACAATAGGTTCAATAATTATGTAGCATGAAAAATCCTAATCTCTATTTTAGAGACTGAAATAAAGGTAAATCAAAACCAAAATAAAAATACTAGATTTCATTTTTGAAACCGGAAAACAATCCCTAAGCCATCCATTACTATTGTTTTCCTTCTAATTGAATTTCATAAAGTAACGGTTGCACATTTCATGACCTCCGGTAAATAAGGATTTCATTTAACAAAAATAAACATTAAGAAGTTCAAGAATCAATATATAAATATTTAAGAGCTTAATGGGCAACCTCGACAACTTCACAAGCTTAAAAACGTGGTTCGCCAAAAAAAAAAAAAAAAAAAAAAAATAACGTGAGTATCACAACAAAAAAAAATATATTAAAAGAAACTAGTTATGAAACAACAAGATCTGCCCGTATTGCTCTACATTCATACAATCATTTGCTTAAAAGCGTTTAAAAAAAATCACTGTATTGAAAAAAATCACATTAACAGTTCAATTTTTGCTCAACAACGACAGAAATATTCAGTGTGTAAACGAGCATGCTTAACATAAGTCATGCTCAAAGCTCAGCTCAATAAAAGGGAAATTTCGACTCAACTTGAACATTTAAGTTCAATTCGAAAAAATTTATTAAACTTACACTCTGTGCATATAAGTTCAAGAGATACTGAGTAAGTTATAATAATTATTTACTTGTAATAAATATTTATTATAAAAGCTTCCCAAAACTCGGATTAAGGTTTGATGAGCTTTCGAGCTTGAATTTCATTAGGTTTAACTCAGCTCGTGACAAACGAATCGACTCACGGATTCCTAAGACCTCGAAGCTCCTAATATTGTGAACCACACTATACTTTTTTTCCGGATTTCTTATTTTATATGATCTCAGAGCAAAAATCAATGCTCATCTAGCATCTGTCCTCCAAAGTCACCTTATCGACACCCGTCTTACAATCCGGTCTGTTCGAAATAAACTTGAAAGTTTCTGGAACTACCGATGACTATTTCCAATGATTTAAAAAAAAAAAAAAAAAAAAAACTAGTTTAACACAAGATCGTGCCCTTTTGCTCCTACATCAACCATCATTGGCGGTAAAAAATCACTTTATGAAAACATAACAGTTCAATTTTGTTCAACAACGAACAGAAATATCTAGTGGTGTAAAACGAGCATAGCTCTAACATGTCATGCTCAAAGCTCAGCTCAATAAAAGAATTCGACCTCAACTTGAAATTTAAGTTCAATTCGAAAAATTTTAAACTTACACTCGGCTTAAAGTTCAAGGCTCGAGTAAGTTTAAAATAAATATTACTATAAATATATTATAAAAGCTCAACAAAACTCGATAAGGTTTGATGAGCTTTCGAGCTGAATATCATTAGGTTTGAACTCAGCTCGTTGAACAAACGAGTCGACTCGAGTTCAAGCTCAAGCTCGATTGGAACCGAACTTTTTCGAATTTTTTTTAAATCGAGCTCGAATAGCTCACTAGCTGGCTCAGGTCACTTTCGCCCCTAAACGGAATAATAATGAAGTTTTATAGACTAACCATGACTATACAACTAATTTGACAGGATATTTGCTCTCTATTTCAAGCACATGTAACCAAATTATAAAAGATTATGTATCTAGCTGTATAGTTTATACCATACAAATCTGACAACTAAACCCTAGCCCCAAACCATTAAGAGACAGCAATAAATCCTTTGTTTTCAATATCTGCTCTGATCAAATTAATCGCCCCTATATAAACCATCATTAAAGGACAGCAATAAATCCTTTGTTTTCAATATCTAACAACTAATTTTGAATTACTTTTTGTAGAAAAAAATTGAGAAGAGAATTTTAAAATCATTCCATCATGCAAGTTCAAATGGATAACAAATAACAGAAGACAAAATGGAAAACTAACAAACAGTATTCACCAAAAACCCTTGATCCATTGATCCATCACCTTTTGGATTTATCAGAGGGAAAAACCCAAGTGACTTGACCCCAACCAAACTTTTTACTGTGGAATTGATAAGAAATGGCCAAGTGCAGACTAATAGTTACATTTTACAAACATATAAATACATAATCACACGAGGCATGAAAGAGACAGAGAAACGGGCTATTAGCGGCGTGCAATTATTCCATTACAGTAGCACATTAGCTGATGATCAAAACAAAAAGACAAGTGTATAACAAATAACCAAATAATGTGCACACTAGTTTTCAAGGTTCAACTAATATATGAAGAATACAACAAAAATGTAGAGCATGACAAGCTTTATTTCGATGGTCAACTAACATGCATGATAAATGACTTCATAAAACACCTGCACAATCTTCACCGGCATCACCGACCTGAGAATAACCAGTGATGCCAACAGCCAGCTATTCTATTCTGCTCGAGATTGCCCAGCTCGAGAAGAAAGGATGATGCCAACAATGAGTCCATAAAGAGCCAGTGCCTCAGCAAAAATGAGAATGAGAATCATGCCAACAAAAAGCTTTGGCTGCTGTGCATTAGCTCTACAGAAGAAACAATAAAATTCAGCCACGCATATTTTCTTGGTCAGTACATGTATAATGTTAAAATAGCTTCAGAGTAGTGAGTGCACAATTATTGAGATAGGCTTCCATAAAAGTAGTGCAGAAATATGCAGTAGTGATTTAGGCCTTTGCATCTAACAAGAAAATCAAGGAGTGAATGCACCATAAAACAATTAGGAAAAATGTAGAACCAAAAACAAAATATTGTGGTTACATAGTCAATAACATCAGATTAAGCAATTTCTTTTGTCTCCATATAAGTGTACTCATTTCAAAATTCAACAAATGTCTTGGGTAACATGGTGATGAGACACTTGACTACCATAGACTAAAATCTCCTGACCTAATAAATTAGCTTCAGTACCTTCATAGCATGAAAGAATTTTAAGCACCATCGAGCAGCCAAAGAGTCAGGTTTACCCCGGTACAGATTAAGATGCTCCTGAGCTATCCTAATTTGTTAGCTCTATGATGTAAAACTTAATCCTTCAAAAACCACTGTATTACAAAAGGTGTTCAAAATTCATGATAAATAGTCATGGAACCTAATAGTCAGACAACAAGCATTATAAATAACTGGGTCAATGAAGTAAACAAATCAAAAACCAAACGGATTTCACATTTATGCTACAACAGAGCTGTTCAAACCACATTCAAGATTGCTTCACCTAATGGCAGAACTAAGACGGGTCTAGTTCCACCTCAGCATCTGCCACTCCTGCCCAAGGTATATGAAAAAATACAACCATCCCTTTCAACATTTCCCTCAAAAAACTTTGATCTTGACCCACTTATATAATATTATAAAACATAATAATACACTAATATGACATTAGTTTTTCATGTTTTTTTTCAAGAATTAAGGGATTGTAGCTCTCCAAAACTCTACCTTTCTAATCCATTAAATTTAACTCAGCAAGTTTCTCTGATTTCTTTTCCAGTTCCAATGTACATGGACTTCACAAAGATATTCTAGGTTTTGGTTGTAATTAGATTTTTTTTTTGTTTTTGTCCTTCGAATGTAAAAGGATATTTATTTGCAACACGAGAATCTTTCTACTTCTCATGGAAATCTCTTGATTCCCTTTTAGGGATCAATTCTTTGGAAATTCTCAATTCTCTGTGAAATCTGAAACTAGACTGCAACATTTCAATTAAGGTTAAGAATATAAGTTATGCAACTAGAAAGACCTCATAAACTATGTATATTTCAATTTTGTCTAATATGCATAGTTTAACGGGCTAATTCATACCGGTTCATGCACCCATTAACTATGTGTTGGAAAACAGGCTGCATTTGGGTATGTTATTGTTAGCAAATATTGTTCAAATATCCATGAGAATAACTGAATGCATACAAATGATCAAATCAACTATATGCATCATTGTTTATTCTCCATACTTTCTTAATGGGACATTTTTATCTAACTAATGATTTCATTTATTTGAGAAAATATAGTTCAAGAATTTGATCCCCCAGCTCAAACTACTGGGTCTGCCAACTGCATCACCTACTAGGTAACAACAAATATACTTTTGGTCAAAGGGAAGAGCATATAGGTAAGACAAACATCAATTGCAAATTTAGTTTTAGGCACAGAAAGCATATACGTTCTTCCAACTGACAATGTATAATGTGACAGAAATGGCAAATTGAAATAAGAGTAAGCTATTAAGAATGCCATTTGGACATCTACAGTAACTGAAAATAAAGAAATTTAAAGATCACTCCAACAAAATAATGAGATCTATAAAAAAACATCAGGAAAGGATAAAAACTTTGGCATCTCATAAGATGTTTGAGCAATTCTGTTTTGCCGTATGCTAAAGGCCCAATATATATACCAAGTCCTGAAATGCCATTACAACAGCTAAAAGATACACATATCAAAACAATGCAACAAACAAAATTCAGGAACAAGTACAATCATAAACAGGTAAAGAGCAAACAGAAAAAACTATAATCCCACATATAAATTCACCATAAGAAAAATTAAATAAAAAACAACCCAATAAAACAAGAATTAAAGAAAAAGAACTACAAATGATAAAATTAATTACCTGACGCCAGCATCTCCAACAATACCAATAGCCATACCAGCAGAAAGGCCAGCAAGACCACAGGCCAGACCGGAAGAAAGATGAGCATAACCATCGAAGAGGTAATATGATTTGGCTTTAGGGTTAATTCCAGTACTAATAATAACAGCAATAATCAAACCATAAATACCAAGCACTCCAGCCATAACAACAGGAACTATAGATTTCATCACGAGCTCTGGTCTCATAACGCCCATTGATGCTACACCAACACCGCTCTTGGCTGTCCCATAGGCAGCTCCCATACCTAAGAAACAGAATGTAAAATTGAATAACTATAAAATGGATCAGATTCAATCGAATAAAATCAATTAAGGGGATTAGGTTTTGGCTTACATGAGAAAACGAGGGCCGCCGCGGCGCCAAGGAAGCCGAAGAAAGGAGCGGTTTCATCGCCGCTAAAACCAGTTGCCATTAGAAATTTTGGAGAATTGGATCGGTGAATCGATTGCGAGAGAAGAAGTTTCTCGGCGTTACAGAGACATGTACCGTCGATTGGGATGAGACAAGAGACACAGAGGAGGGACAATAGGTCGGGGGGAGAGGAAGTTTCGTGGTGGACCTACGTACGCGGCTAAAAACGACAAGAGAAGTAGCGTATTGGGTTGTTTGTTCATAGACAATTCAGAACGAACCAACTCATTGGGTTACACAACGAAGCCCATAGAACAAAGGATAAAAAGAAGAAAAAAAAAAAGAACGGCATCGTTTCGTCCCTATTATTATTAAATTTGGCAAATAAAATAAGAATAAACTATACTTGGGCCTCGTTCCTTTTTTTTTAAGAAAAGAAATTACTGCCATTGGTAAAACACATTTTTTGAGGGAAAATATTAATTTCTTGAATGGAAAAACCTAATTGAAAATTTAAATAAGTACTAGAAACGTAGTTGATTTTTAAAAAATAAAGACAAATATTATTTTAATAAAAAATTAAGAAATAAAAAATATTAGTAAAATATAATTTAGGACCCAAAGTATACTTTACCCATAAAATAATATTATGAACATAGGATGAATAAAATATTATTTTTTACTGCCACAGAGTGAAATTGAATTCTACGTTTGTAGCTGAATTTATAACAGAGAAAGGTTAAGTAGCAATTCAGTTGAAAGATACAAAAGCTCTAACATTCTAATTATACAGCGAAAATCTCAAAATCGCAGCACTAGAACCTAACTATTATTTACTGTACATCTCCTTCAAATGCTAACCAAAAGGTCATTTTTCAGCTTCACATATTGATCAGGACAAAAGTTTGCCCTTCCTCGGAAAATATCTTCAACAACTACAGTTATTCCGATGGCAGTATGTAGTATGCATCTTAGTACACAAATGGAAGTATGGCCCGTCGATTTCGTGGATAGTTGTCAAATTTGTGGAGGTACCACCTATGCGTCTCAGCTGCTGCAAATGCAAGATTAGCCACCTGAAAATATTGAAGCAAACGATTTGACGAAGCCGAAAAGGCAAGGATAAAAAGAAAAGAAAAGGAATAATAGCCAATTTACTTGTTTAGTTAGATAAAAAAAGGTCAGATTTGACCTTTTACACCAATTTGGGCTCCGAACCTGTTTAAAATGATTAATAATATCATATTTAACCTTTTAGACCAATTTACCCTTCAAACTTATTTTGATTTTACAAATTAATGAACTGATTCAATTTAACAAGATGACTTTTATACCTTCTTGTTTTGCGCTCAATGCATCTACATCAAACTTTTGTAACACTTTTAAACATAATTTTAAAATCCATAAATGTAGCATTTCTTCTAACACATTAAATTTACAAAAGGTGGTATAACTTTAATAAATTTACAAAAGATGCAGTATAATAATCTATTTAACATGAGAAATGGATAGATTTCATATACAATAGATGTTCAAATTAATATATATTTTATGAAATCAAAATCATGAATCAAGGTGAAGAGAGTTACAATATACTTAATATATCATTTTCTTCTATTTCATATTTAATTTATTTTTGTTAATAAACTATATGGTCCAATCCTGACTATAATTTTAATAAATATCAATACAAGGATTCTCATATTGTAAATATAGTGAAAAATCAAGAGCTAAATTGACCCAAAATAGAAATATCATATTTTTAATCATTTTAAATAAATTCACAGATTAAATTGACCCAAAATGTTAAATCTGATCCTAAATAATTTTAAACAAGTTTAGGTGGTTAAATTGGCCGAAAAGATCAAATACAATCCTTTTTATCTTGTTAAACAAATTCAAGAGCCAAATTGGACTGTACTCCGAAAAGAGAATGATTGGAAATAGAATAAGCAGCAAGGAGTTTCCTTAAAAATTACCACAAATAGAATAAGAAGCCATGTTATGAAGTCATATTACCACAAATAGAAGAAGAAGCCATATTATGAAGTCAGTGCCTCCACTTGCAATCAACATACCTAAATATATTATCTGCACAGTAACAAATGAGATAATGAGTGTTTGTACTGACTTGCAGCTGATTCAATTATATGCCCATATTGATAACAAAATCATAACCCAACACATGCCGGTGCGTCTCAGTGTGTGTGTGTGTGTGTGTGTGAGAGAGAGAGAGAGAGAGAGAGAGAGAGAGAGAGATACCATCTCAGCCAAGTAGTGTGGACTTGAAACTATTTCAAACCAATCACCACGAGGAATTCCATATTCTTCATTTTGTTCTCTATCTTCTCGCAAAGAGCCCTGAAGAGCAACAAATTCAGTTAGAAACTAAACATAAATATTAACAAATTCCATAAGAAAGATGCTAGGATATGAAGTTAAGAATGTATATTTGCAAGGTGAAAGGAGGAGAAACTGGATATTCTCAATGGGACATCAAAACATGTTGTCAATGTTTATTTTGAGTTCTAAGAACTGCAATAAGCAAAAGTAACATAGCAAACTAATTTAGTTCATATATCAAAGCAAGCTGTCCCCACCAATATTAAAAATGTCTTCAAGTGAAAACTTCGTCATTTCAATGCTGTCCATTTTTTTCTAGTCTTAAATTATTAAGACAGTATGATGCCATTGAAGCCGAACTTTTAGATAAGTTTTACACTTCAATAAAAAGATAACCCTGTTATTTTGTACATAGCAAGTGCTAAGATGGATGAGAAGAGTCGCTACAGGTGAAAGCATATAATTTAGTTACATTTTCATGATATGAATTCAGACATACATGCTAAAGTAAAATGAAGTTAATATAATCATAATCAACTAGGTATTATCACTCTGTATTCATGAAACTATGGTCCATTTGTATATTAAATAGCCTATAGCAGTTCTAGCGCATTAGCAATACATTCCACAGAAAATTTGTTCAACATACAAAGTTTTTCCTTTTTTTTTTTTTTTTTTTTTATCTCTTAGAGCTGGCCTTCCAGCTTTGCAATCTAACCATACCTTAATATCACTTCTTACATCATTTCACTCATCTTCAACGTCTCAATTCAACTCAAAGTTATATGCATATTATGAAAATCTGAATAATAGGCTTGCTGTTTTTTACAGCATGTCTAAACTTGTAACTTATGGCTACCTCTTGATCAATTTATATGACAACCTATATGATAACAACAATCAATAAACCCAACACATCCGTGCGTCTGTTCAGTTGTGTAGTGAATAGAGAGTGTGTCCTGGTGAGAGAGAGAAGATCAAGAGGACTGATTAGCGTTTATACTCTTTACGCGCGCGAAACGAGCTTTATCGAACGGTTTAAGAATAACCCTCATCAAACACAAAACGATAAAGTGAAGACCTAAGAATTCTCTCAGAAACCACAAAAATACATAACCACACGAAGTTTAGATTAAAAAATTATCTCATATTTGTTCACACATCTATCTAATCTACAAAGCAAAGAGGCCAATAGAAGAGGCAAAACATAACTTCGCTCTATAAGACAAAATTAATCAGACAATAAAATATCATTAACAAAATCTCCCTAGCCTATAGTGATAGTATGCTCTAGGATTATGAATTAGAATGTTATTACTTTGCACGATAGAAAGAGGAGCTATATGAAACTGGGATATTCTCAAATACTGGGTACAGTCAAAATGTTCTTGTTCAATGTTATTGCAAAGATTCTACAGAACTGCAATAAACGCAAGAAGTTAAATAACATAAGCGGAAAGCTGATTATTTTTAGTTCTAGATAAAGGCTATCAAGCAAGCTGTCTCCCCAATACTCTAAAGTAACATGAAAAAATGTCTTCAAGTAAAAAACTTTCGTACATATTCAATGACGCTGATCCATTTTATTCCTAGAGTTCATATAAGCTTAAAACTATTAAGGACAGAATATGATGCCATCTGAAAGTTCAAACCCGAACTTTAGATTAAGTTTACACTTCAACATAATAAAAAGATTAAACTCACCTGATCATTTTGTCTACCCATACAATGCTAAGATCGAGAGAGAGTGAGAAGAGCTCCTTACAGGTGAAAGCATAATCTTCGTAACATTTTCTATGGATATGACACTTCAACCATACATCGCTAAAGCGTTAAAAATGAATATTAATATAATCAGAATCAACTATTTATGAATAGACTCTGCTGATTTCATTGAAACGTTCAATACTGTCGTTCCATCTTCTTGCTATCATTAATCTAGAGCCAAGCTTATCTCGTCCACTTAACATATTCGCAGAAATGCGAATTTAAGCACTAATACATACTCTCCCCACAGAATAATTTTCTTCAACATCAAAGTCTATTTCCTTTTTTTTTTTTTTTTTTATTTAAGTTAGTTTTGAGTTTCATATATTTTTGAACTGATGCTATGATCTCCTCACAAAGCTGCGAGCTTTTTTTTTTTTTTTTTTTTTTAAGTTGGAGTTATGAGTTTTATATTTGAATGTTAAACTAGTTATCTTTGCTGAGACAAGTTACAAAGGAGAGATGTCAAGAGTGGAACTACCAAGATTGCATGACATCGGAGTTGATGCAACCACCCCCAAGCAAATATAGCAGCACCAACCCAGTGGCACCAACCAAGCTTGACAAAAGGCTTCACTAATCTCCACCAATCAAAATCCACAGCTACTGTCTGTTGGTTTTTAACATTCGCCTCAATCATTTGATATGCTGCAAAGTTAAAAGCCTCGAATGCACATGAGTAGCATAGTGTCAAAGGTGCTACTGTATAGAAGCTGCCAATAAACAATTACATTAATAGAAAATAAGGTGAACAAATGGATACTCCATAGTCTAACAATGACGAGATATACTCAATGAAAAAGTAACAAAAACAAAATCTAGAGATGTAATCAGGCTGAATTGAATCAATAAAGTTTGCTTAGCTTGAATTTAACACGATTCAGACTCAAGTTGAGATTTATACTCAATATTGATTCCAATGAATGCTCGAAATGCTCAAGCTTGACTTGATCACCATTAAAAAATAAAATGAACCTTACTTATCAGTCATCACTGTTAAAATAAATCTTGATAAACTCCAGTGAGCTCAAATTGGAACTTGAGTTGGTATTATTGTTCAAATATTATATAATGATAAAATATATTTAAAATTTACAAAAATTTAAATACTCAGTCAGAGTCAGGAGCCATTTTAGGCAAATTCTCATGTACTCAAAAGCTCCATTCAACTCGGTACTAGAGTTTGACTTGACTAAAACCAAGCAGAATTTGTATATTTTACAAGCCCAGCCGAGTAGCTCACCATTCATGAGTAATTTGACTCATTTTTTACATACCTATCAAATCAAATCCTATAAAAATAAATAGGATTTAGAAATAACTAAACACAAGTAGCTTCAAAAAGAAACTTCTAAGTGATAGACAAAGAAACTTAAATCTTGAGAAACTCACAAAAGGCCCACTAGATAGCCAAAAATATGCATTCGAGCTGAAGAGCTGTACTTCAAGACATAAACTGTCTCATAAAGGCGCCTCAAGACTTGCATTTCCATTAATAAAAGCAGAAACACAGATATCCAGATTTTGTGCCTGTATGCTAAGGTGGGGAAATGAGACACGTGCAAGGAATATATCTGTGAACCTCCAACCAATTGACTAGCTGCTGTAGAGTAATCCAATGAGCCAGAATCCAAGGAAGCCAATTTATATGCATAACCCCAAATTATGATCAGCAAAAAAGTTGTCAACGCAACACCCACCAAGTAAAAGTGCAGGAAGAATCTTTGAGGAACTGTGAACTTTAGCAAAATAAATAAAAAAAAAAAAACAATTAAAGATAATAATAATATTAGTTTAAAAATAATCGCTGAATTGGAGCCTACTTCTCATATACATTTGAATTCAGATATACATATAGAAAAACAATTGAAACTCATTTCATTTGGAAGCATAAATTGGAAGAATTAAAAATACTCAATTAGAGATTTTGATTCTTTTGCACTTACATGAGATGATGGTTGCATAGTCTTGCCCCTTCTAGAAAATCCCAAAAGAAGTTGATGGAAAGAGTTTAGGCGAGAAGAAGGGAATGAAGCAATTAATATGGGTAAAGTTGCAGAAATCCATGCTGCTCGTAGAAGCCAATCAAGGCGAATATCCATTGCTCGATAATCTACACTAATATATCGACTATCTATCAATGATAACAGAGAATACTATACAGGTAGCCCAATAACATCCCTGTGGGCAAGAACATGAAGGCAGCCTTTTATTCTTTGCTTTAGTAGCAGCCCACGAGTCCTAAGACGTGGCGTGTTTCTAGGACTTAACATTTGCCTTGCCCAGTGAGGTTTGTTTTCATCCAAACAAGCGAAGAGATGCCCACGCGTTGCTGCAGATTTATAATTCTATTCATAATGTACTTTTGACCATTGGAATGAACATACAGATTAGTACATACATGATAAATGCATTCATTTTATATACACACAAATGCATAAATATTTATAAGTATTTAATTTGTTAAAATATTATTAAAAAAAGGAATAATTTCACTTTCTCCATCATTCTTATTTTTCTTTTACATTTCCATTCCACAAAAAGTTTAATATAGAATGGTTTACAGGTCATAGATTCCGACTTTTTCTTTTATTATTTCTCAAGACTCATTGTTCATCGTATAATCAAAATACTAAACATATTCAATAATGCATAAAAAAATCACATATAATTAGAGTTTCAAAGTGCAGAATTAAGTTGTTCTTACTATTTGTTAACCATCATTGCTAGAAAAAAAAAAAGGAAAAAGAAAAAATTGTTCAATGTACCTGTTGTTGTCTTCTTAGACTAAACAAATCCAATATGAATGCAACACACCTTAGTTTTCTCCCAGTTTAGAAACTACCACAGGAACTGTTCTAACACTAACCTGAAATAAGCTTAAATGTCTGAAACATTCTATTGAAATTTTACTAACCTTGAGAAGTAAAAATAAATAAATAAATTATCTGCTTGAATGGTCAATTCTTGGCTGCAGATTAAGTGAAGTTTTCAAAAAGATGAATGCAAATAAAATAGAAAATTATAAAAAGGAAAAAAATTAAGTGAGAAAAACAAATTATGTTTTCAATGTCAAAAAATGTAATTAGAGAAGAATAAGCACTTGTGTTCTCACTTTTGTTTCTTTTGATTGAATCTTAGTGTCGGTTATCAAATTTTCGACAACTGCAATAAAAAATAATGCAATTAACAAAATTCTTTTTAGTAATAAAAGAAATTTTTTAAAATAACTAAAATAAAAAAATAGAAAAATGAATAATAAAAAGTATTATTAATCATTCTATTTAACAATAAAGGAAAAAACATTATATGAAATAGATTTTTAGAAACTTCTAAACTTATCTTTCATCCATATAATTCACAACTTTGTAAAACTTAATAAATATAGCATCCAATGACAAACCAATGTGTACATAAATAACTAACAAATCTCAATGGCCAAAGTTATTAACAAATATGGTATACTTGTTTCTTATGCAGCTTTTATTTTGTTATTTATACATGTGGAACCAAAGGTCGCCAACTATCTCCAGATGCAAGTAAACATCGTCCTATCCCTCTCATATTTTCAAAACCATAGAAGCTAATCTACAATCTCCTACCAGTTTTATACTAAAACCTTCAATTATATTTTCAAAGTTCTCTGGAACTCTATTTTATAGACAGAGCATAAGTCATTTGCCATTAAGTTAACAATATCCAAAACCATTCTGAAATCATCTTTTTCCTCAACTGTAAACAATCTGCAACTTCAATTCTTTTAACGTATCCATATTCATTTTAAAAAAGGCAATAAGAACTCAGACAATACAACTCAAATAATTGTATTATCAGATTAGGAAAGGCCACATGGGGATGGTAGACATAAAAAAGATGAGCCTAATTAAAGAGATGCAGGTATGCCATTCCACTAGAAAATTGATGTGACCCTTACATGTGAATGGATTAGAAATGGTATCTACTTTCCCAGTTGAGAGTCTAGGGTTGGCAGCGGGGCAGGTACCTGCAAGAAATAAACTACCCGAATCCGAACCCGTTATTAATTTAAGTACCCGAATCCGTTAAGGAATAAACTAATAATACCCAAACCTGTCCCAAATACCTGCATACTACCCAAATCCGTTTAAATACCCGTCTAATCACAAATTTATTCAATCCATGAAACCCGAATCCGAACCCGAAGTGCAACAAAAAAAATACACAAAAAATACATTAAAATTCAACTTCAAAATAATAAAACAACTTAACCTGTAATATTCAAAATAATAAAACAAATTTAACCTACAATATTCTCAATCAACAGTACATAGTAATATTAAAATAGAACAAAAGAATTGAAATTCAAAACAATATCTCAATTCTCAATTAAACTATTTGACAATCAAACATCTATTAAAATTCAATAAGAATAATATCAACCAGAAACTATAAACTAATTAAAATATAATATTTTTAGAAGGCATCAACATATTTGTCTCATTTTTGTTACTATCTTCACAATCTATACTCTCAAATGTTGACATTATATCCTACGAAATAAAATCTATGTTTAGATACAATATATTTAATATGACAATTACATGCAAATAATCTCATTCTCAGTATCTCTAGACAATCTTAATCATTATTAACAAACCAAACATATCAGATTTCACTTAACAGACAATCTATGTTTAGATACAATATATTTATATGACAATTACATGCAAATAATCTCATTCTCCAGTTATCTCTAGACAAATCTTTAATTCATTGATTAAGACAAAACCAAACATGATCAGATTTCAACTTAACAGACCACGGAATTGGCGTTAACCCATAAAAATTAATTCAACAATTCCTCTCTTCGTCTGTTTTCATATGGTTCATATAAAAAAAAGAAAAAGGCAAATAGGACGGACGCAAACGAAAAAACAACTGAAGAATGAAAAAAAAAAAAAAAAAAGAACGAAAACCTGGCACTTTCTACGCTTGGAAGAGCACGACTGCTGCGGAGGCGTATGGCGAAGAACGAAAGGGAGGCGATGGCCAAGAACGAAAGCAACGGAAGGTGTAAGGAAAGACTGGCTGTCTGAGTGCAGAAAACGAGTTGCGCAGGAAGGGTGGGAGCAGAAAATACGTGTGACTTGAGTTGAGTTTGAGAGAACTTTCTGTTTGTATGATTAAAATGCAAACCTAGGCTAAAACGACGTAGTTTTGTTCATGGATTCATTTAAACCTCCTACATCAAAACTACGTCGTTTTGAAGGTTTAATAGCTACTTTTGTCATTTTTATTATTAAAGTTATTATTATTCTTATTATTATTAGTTATTAATTAAACGGCTATAATCATACTTCAATATTATAGTAATTGTAACAACAAAATATCATGTAAAGTATTAAATTTAATATTTTTTTATTAGAGAATATACTTAGTAGGTTATAATTAATTATGGTTATTATAATCCTTAATCTATATACACTAGACTTCTAAGTATCATTATACTAATAAATATGATGATACTAATAAAAAAAAATCAAAAGACATTTAACTAAGATCCAATTATAATTATGTTATAAGTTCATTATGATATTTTATATGAGTCATATTTCAATTTACTAAAAATATATCTAAATTTCATATTCCATGTGAGTCTTATTTTAAATTAAGATCTAATTATAATTATCATTAGAAGTTTACTAGTGATGTTGATAAATAGCTTTAAAAATTTTTAATTATAATATTATTAGCATTTGACCCGATCATTAACTTTTTATTTTAATAAATTTCATAATTATCAAACTATAAAAATTCAATTAAATTACTAAGACATGGCATGAATACTATATATAATTTATTTAATATATTTTATGAAAAAAAAAACTAAATTCAATTTATTAAGATATTATAATTTAATGCATGTAATTTTTTAAAATTTAACTATAAATAAGATTATATTACTATCTATATATTACTATCTAATAATATTTTATTCATATAATATATTTTATGAAAAAATACTAAGTTCAATTTATTAAGATATTATAATTTAATGTATGTAATTTTTTTAAAATTTATAAATAAGATTATATTACTATTAAATAATATTTTATTTATTAGTAAGTATTTAAAATATAAATTACTATAATTACCAATATATATTTTTTGCGAATATATTATTCAAGAATATTAAGTAGCTTCAGTGTAAAGTAACACTTGGGATAAACAATAGATACTCCTATGTTATTGGTTCATATTACTAATCATCATAAAAGCGAGGGCAACAGGACCGGTACCTACCTGAACCCGATCCGAGTAATAGATGGTATCTATGAATTAACTTTGACTCTTAATTTCCATTTCTAAGAACTAGAACACTTTCAGTCTTCCCATTACCTTTTTTACGAACTTTTATTTTCATTTCTCCTAGGTTTATACTTTTATGAATTGGAACTTTGATATTCTTTCTTTTAGGTTTAATTCCAATATCCATAGGCTTCAGAAGGACTCGGCTTCGAAGTCTATTTTCCTATCTGTGTCGATCAATAATTCGAGTATCAAGTAATGTCGGATTGCAAATTCTAATATACATTTTCAATCTACGCATTAAACGTGTCATTACATACAGTTGCAGTTTCCGGTCACCGGAGTGTTGGGAAAATCGTTATTTTCCCGCCCTTCGGATTGGCTTCGAGCAGGAACAAATGAGAAAATAAAATAATGATTGAGAAATTAAAGAGAATAAATAACACGATAATTTAACGTGGAAAACTCTCCAAGTGGGGAAAAACTCTCCAAGTGGAGAAAAACCACGGCCGTTGCCAAATGGACAATCAGAAAAATATTCACTATGCGGCAAATTTGTGTACAACCACACATTACCAAAATATTTTTTCTACTCGAACAACCACAATTACAAAATATTTTTCTACTCGACACTCTCAAAACACCTCAAATATTTTATACTCCAAGAGACTTGCTCTAAATCCCTAATATAAAACACATTCAAGTATTTTTGGTGTGATTAGAAACCTAAACATTGGCTTCCTTTTATAGCCAATCCCAAGTCCCTCAAAACTCAATCTCCCCGATGTGGGATTGAGCACAACCAATTTTTTATATATTTTTTTTCTTTTGTTTTCAACAAAGGAGGCTAACAATCTCCACCTCGAAAATAAATTATTTGTTTTCAACAAAGGCGGCTAACAATCTCTACCTTGAAAATACAATAAAAAAAAACACAACATTGTCTGCTACCGACAATCATAATTCTTATCGTCAAGAATTATCATACTCAACCATAAAAGAGTATCGACACTTGGAACCACTTTACCAACTCCAAGAATTTTCCATTGGCCATGTCAGATCCCACTAATAGTTTATGGTGCAACCCTCCTGTTGATATTTCCGAGAGTTCATTAGCCATCGACATATTTTTCCACCACACACTTTGCATCAACTGTCAACCAATGCCGTGCGCATTTCCGTGGACCTGCTACCAATAATCCGTCCTCTTCCATGGCATCTCAACGGATAGCAATCATGCCATGAGGACACACATCTCTCAATTACAGAGAGATCACATCATCTCCTTCGCCACAGGAGATCACATTGGCAGCAACAACGTTAGAGCTTCTAGCCGACTCAGCTCCACCGTTCGGGCAATCCTTCCTTACATGTCCAGTTTGACCACCCAGTTTGACCACAACCCCAGCAGACAACCTTTCTCTTTCCGGAGCTTTTATTCATTTTCCTGGTACCGACAGATAAAGCTGAATCCTCATATGATTTAATTTTCATTTCATTCAGTCTTCTCTCCTCAGTAATAAGCTTACTAACTAGATTAGCATACACCACTTCCTTACTACCATATTTCAGAACAGGTTTCATGTGCTCATATGTCGAAGAAAGTGACAGGATGAGTCGGAAAGCTTTATCTTCATCTTCGGTTTATACTCCAAGAGTTTCCAATTTAGAGACGATGCCGTTAAGAATACTCAGGTGATCTGACAGCTTTGTACCTTCCGCCATTTTCAACGTATGAAATTGCTCCTTCAAATATAACATGTTGATATATTTTTTCCCTAGTACAATTCTTCCAGTTTCTCCCACAACTCGTTTGTCGTGGACAATCCAAGCACATTAGCAAGAACATTTTTTTGCTAGACACATGCGAATTTGACTTGCCGCTTTGATATCCAACTCCTCCCATTCTTCATCGCTAATCTTGGATTTTTCTGAGTCTCCACTGCCACTGTCTTTTCCTGAATTCTTTCCGCTGACTGATTTATCCTGCAAAACCTTATGCAGTCCAGACTGAATCAACACGTCTTTGACTTGCACTTGCCACAGTGAAAATTCATTCTCCCGTCAAATTTCTCAATCTCACATCTCATAGCCGACATGCTTACTTGTGCTTATAACAGTGAACCCAATAATTAGTGAAGTAAATCGATATAATAGTGAACCCATTAATTAGATGAAGTAAACTGATTCGGCAATACCCAGGAAAGATCACAATGATCTCCTAGACAATATTACCATCCACGTCAAAATCTCAGGTGACGGAAAACAAATCTCATACGGGGGATCAAAAACAAGTGGGTCCCACTTAAAAATCCGGCCTTCTAGATATGAAGTTACTGTGCACGCGTATATTTATTCAGAACTTTCGTATTAGAATAACTTTCAATAATTATCGTTAGGACCTTCACCACGCGTACTCAAGCCACCAAAAACAAAGCTCCACCCGCTTCAAGGACTTCCAAAAAAACGTCTACCTGCTTTTAAAATAAATAATTCTAACAACAGTATTTTCTACTGTGGAGATTCAGACTAAGCCGGCAAAAAAAAAAACTTTTGATACAGTGTGCATACTTATATTTAAATTACAAAAATTATTTTAACACTAAAAAGCTCCGCCTAACAGCCTAGGCTCTAATTACAAATAAATAATTTATTATTTTAAAATTTTCTAACAACAGTATTTCTGATGTGGAAGATCAGACTAAGCCGCAACTACAGTGCATACTTATAATTTAAATTACAAGAAATTATTTTAACACTAAAAGCTCCGCCTAACAGCTAGGCTCTAATACTGCTTGTTGAGAAAATCGCTATTTTCTCGCCTTTCGGATCGGTTTCAAGCAGGAACAAATGAGAAAATAAAATAATGACTAAGAAATTAAAGAGAATAAATAACACAATAATTTAACGTGAAAAACTCCTCAAGTGGAGAAAAACCACGGCCGTTGCCCAACGACAATCAAGAAAAATATTCACTATGCGGCAAATTGTTACAACCATAATTACAAAATATTTTTCTACTCAACACTCTCAAAACACCTCAAATATTTTATACTCCAAGGGACTCCAAGAGACTTGCTCTAAATCCCTAATATAAAACACATTCAAATACTTTTGGTGTGATTAGAAACCTAAACATTGGCTTCCTAGCAAATCCCAAGTCCCTCAAAACTCAATCTTCCCGATGTGGGATGGAGCACAACCAATTTTTTATTTTTTATTTTTTCTTTTGTTTTCAACAAAGGAGGCTAACACGGAGCTGCCGTCCATGGTGGATGGCAGAATTTATCATCGTTTACACAATAGTTGTAGTTTTTCATGTAGAGCCCAATTTCCAAATCAATTTCACCATCAA